AGACTTCAAACTCAAAAAAATAAAAAGAGACCCCAATGGTCACTACATTATGATCAAGGGGACAATACTTCAAGAAGAAATAACACTCATTAACATATACTCACCAAACGAAGGAGCACCAAAATATATCAGACAACTGTTGTCCTCTCTGAAAACAGACATCAGAGAAAACACATATGTAGTGGGAGACTTCAACACACCACTATCAACAATGGATAGATCAACAAGACAAAAAATAAGTAAAGAAACTAAAGCTCTAAATAAGGACCTAGAGCATTTGGGCTTAACAGACATCAATAGAACACTAAACCCAAAAAAAACGGAGTACACATTTTTCTCAAGCGCACACGGATCATTCTCCAGGATCGATCACATACTGGGGCACAAGACAAACATCAACAGATACACCAAGATTGAAATCATACCAACCATCTTTTCTGACCACGAAGGCATCAAACTAGAAATAAATCATAAAAAGAAGGCAAGGTACTACCCTACCTCATGGAGATTAAAAGCCACACTACTGGAAGACCACTGGACTAATGAGGAGATCAAAGAAGAAATTAAAAAATTCTTTGAATTGAATGACAAGGAGGACACCAATATCCTAAATGTATGGGATGCAGCAAAAGCAGTAATAAGAGGAAAATATATAGCAATAGAAGCTCACATCAAAAAACAAGAAAGAACTCAAAGAAACAACCTAATCTCGAAGCTCAAAGATCTAGAAAAAGAACAACAAAAAAACCCCAGAACCAGTAGAAGAAAAGAAATAATAAAAACCAAAGCAGAAATAAATGAAATTGAAACTAAAAAAACAATCCAAAAGATCAATGAAACCAAGAGCTGGTTCTTTGAAAAAATAAATAAAATAGACAAACCCCTAGCCAGGCTCACAAAGGAAAAAAGGGAGAAAGCACAAATACACAGAATCATAAATGAAAGAGGAGAAATCACAACGGACACAGAAGAAATCAAAAGAATAATCAGTAACTACTATGAACAGTTATATGGAAACAAGTTCAACAATCTAGAGGAGATGGACAAATTCCTACAACTCTACAATCACCCAAAGCTAGATAAAGAAGAAATAGAACACCTAAACAGACCAATTACAAGCAACGAAATTGAAATGGTAATTAAAACCTCCCCAAAAACAAAAGCCCAGGACCTGATGGATTTACAAATGAATTCTACCAAACATTCAGAGACGAATTAGTGCCTATCCTTCACAAACTCTTCCAAAAAATTGAGAAGGAAGGGACAATACCAAACACGTTCTATGAAGCCAATATTACACTAATACCAAAACCGAATAAGGACAACACAAAAAAGGAAAACTATAGGCCAATCTCCCTAATGAACACTGATGCAAAAATCCTCAATAAAATTTTAGCTATCAGAATCCAACAATGTATCCATAAGATAATTCACTATGACCAAGTTGGATTCATTCCAGGGGCACAAGGATGGTTTAACATCCGAAAATCAATCAACGTTATCCAACACATCAACAAAAAGAAATATAAAAACCATATGATAATATCAATAGATGCTGAGAAAGCTTTCGACAAAGTGCAACACCCATTCATGATAAAAGCCCTTGAAATTCTTGGGATACAAGGAACATACCTCAACATCATAAAGGCCATCTATGAGAAGCCAACAGCCAGTATCATTCTCAATGGTGAAAAGCTGAAAGCAATTCCATTAAGATCTGGAACAAGACAAGGATGTCCACTCTCACCACTGCTTTTCAATATAATACTGGAAGTCCTAGCCAGAGCAATAAGACAAGAGAAAGACATCCAAGGAATCCAAATAGGAAAAGAAGAAGTCAAACTATCACTATTTGCAGATGATATGATAATATACATAGAGAACCCCAAAATCTCCACAGAAAAACTAATTCAACTCATCAATCAATTCAGTAAAGTGGCAGGATACAAAATCAACACGCAAAAGTCAGTAGCCTTCCTATACACAAACAATAAATCTGAAGAAGAAGAAATCAAAAAAACCACCCCTTTTATTATCGAAACAAAAAAAATCAAATATTTGGGAATAAATCTAACAAAAGAGGTAAAGGACCTATACAAAGAAAACTATAAAACACTGTTAAAAGAAATAGAAGAAGACACAAAGAAATGGAAAGACATCCCCTGCTCATGGATTGGAAGAATAAACATTATTAAAATGGCCATCCTACCAAAAGCAATATACAGATTCAATGCTATTCCAATCAAAATCTCAATGGCATTCTTCAAAGAAATAGAACAATTATTGATGAAATTCATATGGAATCACCAAAAACCCGAATAGCCAAAGCTCTACTGAAAAAAAAAGAAGGAAATGGAGGCATCACACTCCCAGACTTCAAACTATACTACAAAGCCATAATCATCAAAACTGCATGGTATTGGAACAAGAACAGACATACAGACCAATGGAATCGAATAGAAAATCCAGAAATAAACCCACAGATTTATGGTCAACTAATCTTTGACAAAGGAGCAAAAACTATGCATTGGAGCAAAGAAAGTTTGTTCAATAAATGGTGCTGGGAAAACTGGGTCGCTACATGCAAAAGAATGAAGCTTGACCACTACCTCACACCATACACAAAAATCAACTCAAAATGGATTAAAGAACTAGACATAAGACCTGAAACCATAAAATACATAGAAGGAAATATAGGCGAAACACTACGGGATTTGCACATCAAAGACATCTTTACAGACACATCACCCAAAGCAGTGATAGTGAAGAGAAAGATAAACAGCTGGGACTACATCAAATTAAAGAGCTTCTGCACAGCAAAAGAGACAATACCAAAAACAAAGAGAAACCCCACCAACTGGGAGAACATTTTTGCACCCAACACTAATGATAAAGGACTGATCACAAAAATCTGCAAAGAGCTGATGAGACTCAGCAACAACAAAGAAAATAATCCAGTCAAAAAATGGGCAGAAGAGCTAAAAAGAAACTTCTCTGAAGAGGAAATGCAAATGGCCAACAGACATATGAAAAAATGTTCAACATCACTTGTAATCAGGGAAATGCAAATCAAAACTACCATGAGATACCATCTCACACCAGTGAGAATGGCACATATTAAAAAAACTAGCAACAACAAATGTTGGCGAGGATGTGGAGAAAAAGGAACTCTTGTGCACTGTTGGTGGGAGTGCAAACTGGTCCAACCACTATGGAGAGCTGTGTGGAGATTTCTGGACCTACTAAACATAGAGCTTCCATATGATCCAGCAATTCCACTCCTAGGTATTTACCCAAAGGACACAGAAACATCAATTCCAAAGAGCACCTGCACTCCTATGTTTATAGCAGCACTGTTTACAATAGCTAAGCTTTGGAAACAACCCAAATGCCCAAAAGAAGATGACTGGATCAAGAAGATGTGGTACATATATACCATGGAATATTACTCAGCATTCAAAAAAGATAAACACATGCAATTTGCAGCAACATGGATGGCACTGGAAGGGATCATGCTCAGCGAAATAAGCCAAAAAGAAAAAGAAAAATACCGGATGGTCTCACTCATAGCAGGAATCTAGAAAACTTAAATAAGGGACCAGGAAAATGAATATAAGAAAGTGAAAATCAAAATCAACAAAAAACTATGAACCAGAGACACTTTTTGGGGGGTGGGGGGCGGGAGGGGAAGGATTGGGGTCAGAATGGGGCGTTTGCAATTGTATGGGGGAATATAAAAATAAAATTTAATATTTAAAAAAAAAAAAAAAAAAAGAAAACAGGTAGAATTTCAGAAAGAAGATGGATCGGGGTGGAGGTGGGAGCAGCACTGTTTCATATTCACCAGTTTTCTGCACATTGTCTGGCATGAACTGATGTTCAAAACCCATTATCAAATGTTGAAAAAGTAGAACTAAGTTACTAAGATAGAAGAGTGAGCTCAAGATGTGTTTAGAACAATGAACGGTCTGGTTTCTTGCAGGCACAGAATCCTTGTGGACAAAGTGTAGATGAGGCAAGAAGTAAACTAAGGCTGGATTAAAGAGGTCTTGTCTCTCAGTTAGTGAACGTGGAAAAAGGCTCTAAGTGATAGAGTTGTCAGATGAGTTGTGGGCAGGGTAGAGGCAAGACCAAAATGCACTAGAGGGATGTCTTAGGTGGGAGGAAGGGGGACCAAAGACTTGAGGCCAGTTAAGATGCCAGGGATGTAATTCAGAGTGAAAGAAATAGGTCCCCAGCTAGGTAGGGGTAGGAAGAAGGGAAGAGCCTCTGGGCAAACTGTAGAACTGTATGGGGGTAGGAAAGTGGGCCCCGAGGAGTTACAATGGTTTTAGGCTTCACATTCCAGGTCTCTACTGCTGCATAAAAGCCACTCCAAAACATAGTGGCTTAAAACAACAATCATCTATTTTGCTTATAAATATGCAATTTGAGCAGGACTTAGCAGAGAAGGCCTGTCTGTACTGCATGCAGCATCAGGTGTGTGGTTGACTGAGAGTCAATTGACCCTCTTCCCAGACGGCACCCTCACACAGATGGTATCTGGGGCTGAGGTGTGGGGCCCTCAGTATCTCTGCACATGGTCCCTTCCCTGTGCCTGGGCTTCCTCACAGCATGGTGGCTGTATTTCAGGGACCAGCAGCACAGAGAGGAAGGCCGGGGGGACTCCTGTCTTCATGACTTAGCCTCAGAAGTCATACAGCATCACTTCCACTGCACTGCTGGTTGAAGCCATCAGGAGGACCCCCTCAGGTCAGAGAGGAGGCATAGATTGCCCCTCTTCATGGGAGAGTGGCAAGGTTCTGGAAGTGCATGTAGGATAAGAAGTGCTTATGTGGGCTATGCTGGGGCTGGGATGTCCCAGTCTAGGGCATTTGCAGATGGCATTATGATGAGGTCACACTGGAAAAGGGTGGGCCCTAAATACAATGGCTGGTGTGTTTTCAAAAAGAGAAAAGACCCTGAGGAGACAGACAGACAGAGGAGAAGACCACGTGAGGCCAGAGGCAGAGGTTGGAGCCATGCTGGCCCAAGCCCAGGCACACCGGGATCCACCAGACGCTGGCAGCGGCTGGGTAGGAGCCCCCTACAGAGAGAACACAGCCCTGCAGACACCTTGATTTTGGAGTTCTGGCCTCCAGAACCTTGAGAGAATGCATTTCTGTAGTTTGAAGCCCTAAGCTTGTGGTAATTTTGTTAGGGTAGCTCTAGAAAATAAATACATGACCCTTTTTAGGAGAGTATCATCTGCTGCCCTCAGTGGCTTGAAGACTAGCAGGATCATCTTGACAGATAACACCAAGAGGGAGAAATGGCCCAGAGGGTTCCGATTTCAGGATTCTCAGTGGGGTTTGCCGGGAGCCAATGCCAGTTTGAATTGCAGGGCTGCTGCTTAGAGAATGGGGCTGGGACTGGAGAGGCCATTTTAAAATCGTGGCCATAAGCAAGAAGCTCAGCACAAAGTCAGGCATCCTCTCTGCATTACCACCTCCTCTTGGGGCTGAATCAGGTGACCGCACATGTTTCTATGTTTTAATTATTTATAGTGCATAGTCTAAAGTGGTGTTCAACCAGCCTAATGACTCGGGGTGATTGAATCAAAGGGGAAGGAGATTCGAGCGCTACATGGAGAGTTTCTAATAGACTTCTCTAGAGTTCACAGCTGAAGGGAAGAACCGCTCCCTCTGCTTTCTAATAGACTAACAAACCTCTCTCAATCTTCTTCCGAGACCCCAAAGGTACCCGCCAGTTGCTCTTTCATTCGAAAGCCAAAATGAGTACAATAAGTTTTGTGGCTGGCACAGATGAAATTAGGAATTTGTTAGTGAAATGTTCTATACGCTGATTTTCCTGACAACCCTCTCATGATCGTAGATAGCAGTCCCTGATCAACCAGATGCCAATTAAAAGAGAACAGCCGTTTCACTCATCCAAATATTTCCACTTTGCTCAAAATGGATTCCAAACAGTCCTAGGGTTCTCTGGGATGCTTTAAATCCTTTTTCCTAGCTAGATGGCATTTTAGGTTTTCTGTTTAAGACTCTTGCCCTTCATTGCAAAGCTCAAAGAGAAATTACATATCTGTGTAGCTGGATTCCCACCCCCTCCCCCACCCACCCTTTGGTAGGGCATTTATTAATTTAGATTTCCTGGGAACTTGGGTCCCTCCTGGCCAGGGCTGGTAACAAAATCCCATCAAAGATAATGAATTTTTTTCCTAAACTTTTTGGGCTTATCGTTTTCCCGAAAGGTGCAGAGGGACAGAAGTTTCTTTGCAAAGCACTAAGCTGAGACCACTGTGGATGAATCCTTGGAGGACTCTTTGGGGATGAGGAGGAAAAGATGGGAAGAGAAACCAGCAGGGACTCCCCGGTGAGAAGAATAGGTGGAGAGCCAGGAGGAGGGAGAGAAAATGGTGAGAGCGAAAGAAAGACACAAAGACATCTTGCTGCTCAATACCACTGAAGGTTCTAGAAGTACTCCAAAGGTTTTGAGAGGCAGCCAAGCCAGAAAGCTGTGCACATTTGGGGCACATGAGAGACAGTGGTGGGTGGAGGAAGGGGAATCAATGGACTTCAGAAAGGAAGGCCAGGAAGAGACCAGGGCCAGCCCCAGAAAGGCTTGCAGGCAGAACCCAAAGGAGCTCTTGTCCTCACCTTCATCCCCAAGTGAGGGCAACACTCTCCTAAGAACTTGGGATGTGGGGGAAAAGAAGGGTTTGCCACCTTGCTATACCAATCTCTAAATAAAGACTAATTTATCTTTGTGGGGGGAGGGAAGGAAGGAAGTGGTTTGTTGGTTACACTTGTAATAAAAATGTAAGTCCATAGTTTTTCCAAGTTACAATCAATAATAAAACAAAAAATACAGCTAACATTTAGCATGTAGTGTATATTAAGAATTGTATTAAGTGGGACCTCCTTGGTGGTGTAGGGGTTAAAGTCTCAGCACTACCAAGCTATCACCAGCCACTGCAGCATGAGTTCATGAGTTCAATCCCCAGCCAGGGAGCTAGCCCACATGGTGCAGCAGATCTCTCCTGACTCGCCCGCTGCTTCCCTCAGCAGTGTGTTTCAGCAGATCTGCCTATTCTGGTCCCCACTATCTCTGGTGAATCCTCTCACACACCTCTACCCATACCTCTGGACTGTACCCCAGTTCTTGTATGCATAAATAAAATAAAAATAAATCTTTAAAAAAATTGTATGAAGTAGTTTATGCATATTAGCTTATTTTACTCTCACAAGTGCTCTGTGCGGGCGTTACTATTATTAGATGAGCAATCAAGGTATATACAGGTCATAAAATGTGTCTAAGATCACAGAGATCCAGGATTTGAATCAGTCAGGTTACCAGAACCCACCCTTTTAACATCCTCTATCAAATCTTGGTAACAAACCCTGGGAAGCATCACATACCAGATCAAGTGAGCTACTGAGAGGTTCAGCCCTGAGGGCCCCTGCGCACTGTGCAGCAGAGGTTACACTGTCATATTTAAAGGTGGAAGAACTTAGCAGTTGTTAGTCCCAGCTGGGGAAACTGAGGACTCAAGAGGACTAGCCCACAAGGACACACAACTATTTCATGGCAGAAAAGCAAACCTAACCAGAATCTGACCTGTTGGGACAGAATCTCCTGACTTGGAGAAAAGATGAGTCACTCCCCAACCCACCTCTTTCCTCAGGCCTGAGCAATGGCTCCGTCAACCCAGAAAGCAGCATCCGGGTATGCTGATCCAGAGGGAGGCGGCAGCCACAAAAAAGAACTGGCCACAGAAGCCCACAGAGGAGACAAGGCGGAGCGAGAGAGCATCCTGGCTTTATCCTCACCTTCTGGGAATGTAGACCCCAAATCCCAGGCCTGTCATTGAAACACAAAGTGAAAGGACGTGTTGATGAACTGACCCTCCAGGGGCTGGAAAGTTTCTCTGAACAAATGGGAAAGGAACTGGAACTGCAGAGAGCGCTGAGCTACAGAAGGGCTTCTTATTTGTGTTAACAAAACAATCAAATCTTTCCTTAGATCCCTTTATGGCAGATTAAGAAGGCTTTGGGGGTTCCCAGCATACCTGTCACCGAGCATTTGCATTTCACACTGCAAAACCCCCTTAGATTAACGACCTCCCTTTCTGCAAGATAGTTTTGTCTTAATAGCCGAGTTATGTGTAATACCAATCCCACCAAGATTAAAGAGGAAAGAATTTCTGGTACGAAATTTTGCTAATGACTGACTAAGACATAAAACTTGCTGCAATAAATTAACACGTGTCTTCTAATATGGACCTACTGATTTACTTGAGTCAAAATTGCTCCAGAACCACACACCTGGGCATCATCCCCCCGCCCCCTCAGAAATGGCGGGTTTTATATTTATGCTCAGCTGCAGTGAACCCCGAGGACAGCCATCTGGCACCGCAAGTACCAATAGCCCTGAAGTGGAGAGTGGCATTTCTGTAACACCGCCACCAGTAATCTTGCAGGCAGTGTGCAGTGGAGAGAGAAAAGGACACCTCCCAGGCACCCCATCCTCCCCTTTACTGGTCTTTATGAGCTAGACATTTTTTTTCCCAATTTCTGAGTACAACTTGCCATGAAGGAAAAGTATCAAATTCTGTGTATCTAAGGCAGGGCCACATGGCAGGATACCAGAGCACAGGAAGCTGACCCTATGCTGACTTGGTTCAAAACCCAGTCCTACCTCTTATATGACCTCCAACAACTGACTTTTCCATGTCTTTGCTTCCCCATCTATATAGAAGGGATACCTACATACACCACTCAGAAGAGCTCCTGGCAAGTAGTAGGACATTGGAAGCCAGAGATCCTTTCTAACTTCTAATTTTCCACCCCAGGCCTCCATGCAGAGCAAGAACTGCCCCTCAATGGCCCCTCAAACATAGCGGTCTTCGTCAGTGGCTTTGACCGACAGGAGCTGTGCTTGCTGCCACTCTACTGAGGCAGTGCCCTAGGCTTTGAGCATTGCAAGGAGCATGTTCTGTATTACGAATGAGTAAGTCTCGCCACTTGCCCAGCATCAGGGTATCCACACCTCCCAGGCTATACCCCAGCAGGCATCTCCACTGCCCACCCATTTTTAAGTTCCCAAATGTAGGTGGTTTAAGTTCCTGCAGACTCTGGTGTTTATGAAATTTACTGCTTTTTGATACAACCACTGAATACTGTTAATAGTATTCGGTACTTAACAGTATTCAATACTGTTAACTGTATTCAGTAGTTGCAAATGGGTGTTGTCCATCAGCTTTGCGAACATGAGTTTAACCTGTTCAACCCATAGCCCAGGACTGTGGTCACCAGGCACAGACATTTCCGAAGCCATGACCACCAACGTGCTTGAGTGAAGCCAGTCTCTGTATCTGGATTCCTCTAACCTGGTTCTTCCAGTTGGAAAGATCCTGCTCCACTCTCTACTCTCTCCCTGTTCAAATTTGGTTGGGCAAGGCATCTCTTCAGAAATAAAGAGGGTCCTGATCTCCTCCTACTTCCCCTCCCCCTTCATCTTAACCATAGAAGGAAAGTTGAAGTTCGTGGTGCTGGAGCACTTAGCTGCTTGAAATTTGTTCTCTCGAAGATGGCAACCAATACTCCTAACTCTTCCACAGGGGTACTTCATTGAGCTATCCACAAGAATGTCTGGTGGTTAAAGGGGAACAATTCTAGGGTAGAGATGTCTTCCCTCTCAGTTACCTTTCCATACACAACATCTTTTTTTTATATATTTATTTTATTTATACAAGAGCTAGGGTATGGGCCAGAGAAGTGGGAGGGTGAGAGAATTCACTAGAGACAGATTGGGGAGCAGAATAGGCAGACGGACCGAAAACACTGCTGAGGGGAGCAGCGGGTGAGACAGGAGAGGTCTGCAGCGCCATGCGGGAATCTCCCTGGCCGGCTGGGAATCAAACCCGTGCTGCAGAGGCTGCGGACAGCTTCACAGCACTGTGCTCAATCTGCTACGCCACCAGGGAGGCCCTCCATATACAACATCTTAAGAGTGGGTGTGGAAGTTAAAGTGGACACCCCTGTCTTGGGTATTGAAGATAAAATTGAAATTTTCGAGATCTCCCCATCGCACCCAGTCCCACACACTCATACCTACAAATCCCAGTAATACACACCATCTTGACCATCCTCTGTTGGACCCCAATCCCTGAAGACCTCCTCTTAGGAACACAAGGCTTAGCCAGTGACCTTTAACTGAGTGGGACCTCAGGGCTAAACTGGAAGACTTAGATAATGAGCTCACTGAGAATTGGAAAGCTTTCCCCCTTGAGCCCTGCCTAGATCCCCATCTCACCACCCCCTCAACCTGGGTCTTCAACCAAGGGGCTGGCCCAGACACCTAGGGATTTTCTTTCTGCTGTTCAAAGACTTGTCATTGTCATCACCAGAACATTTGCATCAGTGTGCACTGTGTTCACCACATTCTTGTTTAAGAACCCAAGTGACTCGGAGGCCCATGATAAAAATGCTTTTTTTAGTTGTTTTGGTCTATCACATTGTGGTAGGCAGAACTGTAAGATGTGCCCCGAGATTTCTGCCCCCTGCTACACGTGTCTGTGTAACACCCTCTCCTTGAGTGTGGCAGGACCTGTGACTATGACAGGAGGTCATTCCTGTGACTATGATGCATTATATGGCACAAGGGATTTTGCAGAAGGAATTAAGATCTCTGATCAGTTTTGACTTTGACTTTGAAATTGTCAAAAGGGGATGTTATCTAGGAAAGGCCTGATCTACTCAGCTGAGCTTAAAAATAAGTGACTAGAGGTAGCAAAAGACAGTCTCCCTCTGAGCAAACAGAACGTAAGTGGCCACACTGTTACAGGCCTGAGAGGTCTTAGGAGCTCAGAGCAACCCTGCAAAGAGCCAGCAAGAAAATGGGTCCCAGTCTGACCAGCGTGAGGAGCAGCATTCAGCCACCAACACAAATGAATGTGGAAGGGATCCCTGAGCTCCAAATGAGAACATGGCCCTGACAACTCCTTGATTTCTGCTTTGAGAGAGACCCTGAGTGGAGACCCCTGTTATTTAGTGTTATTCAGTGCCTGAGGTCCCACTCAGTTCTAACCTACAGACACCATACAGAAATAATAAATGGGTGTTAGTGGAAGCCACAAAAGTGGTGGTAATTTGTTACAGAGCACTAGAAAACAGAGGCCCTCACTCGGAGGCTTCTTCATATCACACTAATTTGAGGGCAGGGTATAATGTAGGCCTGTTTCTGTTTATCTCTATTGTCTTTATCCTTTTTCCTCCAGATACTTTTCAAACATCTCTCCATCTTTTACCCATGTACTCTCAAGACTTGGCTCTTTATTCCTGCTTTGAAACAACTGTTAAACAGTTAATCCACTCAGAAATTCTCAGCATCCCAAACCAGTGTGACTGCTAGGTTTTCTGTCGACAGCCCACCATCTGCATCTCAGCACACTTTGTTTCCTCTTCTTGTCTTCATCTCCACAACATTCCCCAAGAAGTGCTATCACAGAGTTCCCAAATGTGGAGACTGCAAAGTTCTCTAGGCTACGTCCCTTGAGAATAGTCAGGGGCTAGCATGCCTTGGAATTCCATGCAGAGAAACAGAATCAGTTATTCTCAATTGAAGTGAAGTATTTGCATGAATAATATCACACACGCCACAAACAAATACATTAAAAGTTCCTTAATGAACCAACGGAATCTGCATAAATGAGGCCTTACTATGTTTGATTTAGATTACAGAAAAGTTCTCTAAGGCCAACACAAGCAAGCCATTTGTAAATTTTGAATGAATGAATGTATAAATGAATGAATGAAACATTTTACTAAAGCAGCAACAGAATAGCCACTAATTAAATAACAGTATTAACAGCTCTTTACTTCTTTGACTAAAATGTGTCATTCATTTAGATACAATTGTCAATAATATTAGTTTATGCTTAGTTTATTGTTTTAATAAAAAGGCTCTATTTTTTTAATCCCATTTAATAAGGGGGAGGATACACTATTTCTCACTGCATATACCCATAATGAGAATGGCTAGCCAGTTCACAAGATGGTAACTATGCCCCTGGAGACAACAGAAACTGCTGCTATCGAGGGCAAAGCACCTTAGAGAAAATAATTGGCCTCCAGGATATTGTCCCTGCCAATTTCCAAACCACATAGTGATAATAAGCAACTTGAAATTTCCTTATAAATATTTTATAATTCTCAAAAAATGGAGATAATCTAAATATGCACCAACACAGAATGAGTTAAATAAATTATGGTACATCGAGTGGAGTAGTACACAGCCATTAAAAGTAATGATCATGATCTATATTTATTGACAAGAAAATATGTCATGACATTGTTAAATAAAAGAAAAGCAGGTTAGAAAATAGTATTTACAGCATAAATATAAGAAAACAACTTGAAGGCTACATAACAAAAATGCTAACAGCCATTTGGAGGGAACAGAGCTTATAAGTTGGATCAACACATTTCCTGGGACAGTCTAATTATAAGAGCTCTCCTGTTCCTTCCCAACACTGTTCTTGCTTACATGGTCACCCCAGCTCTTCATAGTTTCACTTTATTCTTGTGTTCTTGCATTTTACCCTGCTTTCTTCTTATCATCAAGAAAATAGCTATTTTCATTAGGGGAGAAGCATTTTATAATGTTTCTCAGTCATTTAAACTGATCACCCCATTAAGTCTCAGTGCTATCATGCCATCACTACTGAGGCCTGAGTTCGATTTCCAACCAGGGAGTTAACTCACATATGGCACAGTAGACCTCTCCTATCTCACGCTCTGCTTCCCTCAGCAGTGTATTTCAGTAAATCTGCCTGCTCTGCTCTCCACTCTGTCTCTGGT